GTAAAGAGGCTACCAATGATTGTAAAATTCCTTTTATCTTCACACTTCCCGCTCCGGTCCGCTAAGACAAAAATCATAAGTGCCAAGGCTCAGCCAAAGAATCTTCATGAGAATGTTTTGGTAAAAAGAATGAATGGAGAAAAGATTTTTACCTAACCTAACACTTAGCAGCCTCAACTTCTTCAAGATTAAGAGATAACCATCTGATGTTAGATAATGTCAGAAATCACCTGGCACCTTAGCATAATTGTGTCCATGAAAGTGACAAACAGAAAGATCAGCCGACGACTCAATCCCCTAACCATGATGCTTATCTTTGATGTTCTATCGCTTAATTAAGGTCGCCTCACAAAATCTGCGGTTTTACTCACAGATAATATTTCTTTAGCAGCACCGCCAATAACTGCTTTTACAGCAAAATGTTTATGGATTGTTTTGCCATTGGCATCTAGTAGTGCAAAATACCACGACGCTTTAACAGATGGTGCAAAAATGTTCTCCAACTTCGAGTGTGTTCTGTTGCGATCGGAAGTGCTTCCTAACACGAAGATCGATTGCATTTGATGGGATGTAAGCGATATCCTAAGACAAATAGATCTCGATGGTTAGGGATTGAGTGCCACTATAGCCAGACAAATCCGATCTCATGCAAAAGTAAACAAAGTGCATGAGCAGATTGCGATATATTGCATCACATGAAGTACATGCTACTGGGAACCGTTGCAGCTTAGGAAATACTTGTGACCCGAAAAAGGAAATTAGGGGATCCAATTTAACAACTTATCAATGCGTTTGTATTAATCTTTTATTATATAGCAGCTGTCTATCTAAGGCTATCAGAATGATGATCTACAGTAATTGAAAGATGTTTTGGTGGATAAAACGAAGATGACTTTTTTTGCAATATAATGCTTTAACAGATTTACAGAAGCCAAACATTTACGAAGTTGAGAGAAAAAAATACTGAAATAAAAAAACGATGCTCAGAACAAGAAAAGAC